CAGCATCGTTATTGAGTAGAATGGTTCCCTTACTGAAATCCAAAATTTCTGGGTGAAATACGCATCCGCAGGGTTCAGATGATGTTCGGTGTTGCTTGTTTCATAGCAGAAACCCAGAAAGATGTTAATTCTTTTTTTTTTTTTAAGATTTTTATTGGGGAATTGGGGGATGGGAACAGCGCTGGGGAATTGGGGGAAGGGGAACAGACAAGTTGCTGTCCTTTTGTTCTTCAGTCTAGTTGTGAAGGATGTTGCTTCACTGGCCCAAGTTGGCACCATCATTGCGCTCTTCCAGGGTGAGGCAGATCAGTCACTGGCTTCTGGACGGCCGCTCACGGAGGCTTGAGGGCCGCTCATGCTGGCTGCTGGCTACACACGGTAGCCCATGGCAACTCACTACAGCAAGGGCTGCAGCCTTCGCCGTCGCTGGCGACTCACAGCAGCCCAGCTCCAGGTTGAGCTGTTGTTCAGCATCTTAGCTGTAGAGGGCAGTGTCACAGGCCCTCATATGTGGGATCTGAACCGGGGCCCTCTGGCGTCCCTAGCCATCTCTTAACCAATGCGCCACTCAGCCGGCCCAAAGATGAGTTAATTCTTGAAGAAAATGATACTGAACTTGTATCAAATTGAGGGTCTTTGATTCAAGAAGCCACAACAGTTAAAAACAAGTGTATCAGAAAATTTTTGGAGTTTGTCTATGTTTCTGAAAAAGGAACAGTGTTCTGGCTGATGAATAAGATCTAAGCTGACTAGCTACAGAAATACCAAAATGTTGAATGATTCTTCAAACTTATTTGTGATATTTTAAAGATGCAATAAAAGTCATGTATTGAAAACAAACATTTATTATGTGAATACTTCCAATGATCAAAAAACATTTTTAAGATTTTCATAACTTTCTAATACTATATATATAGAAATATATAAAAATATATTAAAATATGTTTTTGATATTTTCATAACTTCTTAGGAAAACATATGTTCAGGTTTTGTGTGTAAAATGCCTGTGTTGAGACTATACATTTATGTTCTAGGTGATGAGTTTGCTATAGTAAATACTGTAAATTTATTTTGATTAATGAAAGATTTTTCTCATGCCTCTCTCTTAAATAATGTAATCTTTTTCAGACTTAATAGTGCTTATTACAGATTTCAGGAGATAAAATAAGAAATAAGATATAAAAACTTGGTTCACTTATCCCCACACAAAGATAGTTCATATTAATATTTGAAGTATACCTATATCTCTTTTTTGTACCTGCAGTATATTTTAAATAGTTGATTTTTTTAATATTAGCATGTTAAAATATTAAGTAATATTTAACATTATGCTTCAGACTTCTAATATTAATCGTGAGTAGGCAATATGTATAAAAATAATCTGAGTGAGCAAGGCCAACACTGAGAAAAACAACTAGATCTTATGTATTTCCTGATTGGGAAATCATATTATCTCCTCATGTGGATCAGCTTTGTTTGGTGGTATATTTTTATGAAAACGATCTATTAGTTTTCCCAGATCGTTTAGAATATCTGGGAATTCCAGTGCCATTTTTCAACACCCCACCTCCTTTTTTGCTTATACTGTTTTATAGCCTTCTATAGAGACCCGGGCCCGGCCTTGTATACATAAGATTAGAATAACCCATAATACATGGGCTTTAAATACGCAATACAGAAGTTGACACCAGATATTTTGGGTATTATCTTTGTCAAGAAAGATGGTGACACTATATGCTATTCTTATCTCTCTTATTAATGGAATACAGATTATTAGGTAACAAAGAGACCAGAAGACATTGTTTTATTTGTCAGAGACCTCAGTCATAAAATTCTCTGTATGAATCAAACTTGAAACAAAATATTATTTGCCTCAGAGATGGTAGGAAGCATGTAGTCATGATTCTGCTTCTCCATTTAGTCTGAATTCATAAGGGGCTAAGGCTAGGGGGCAGTGCGTCAATTTCAAGGGTAAATCACAATGTATGGAAACATTCTATCTTGAGTTTAATCCCTGTTGTTATTACATGGAGGTTTCTTATGTCATCTTGAAGTCTTCCCAAGCATAACACTATGCAATAAATATGAAATGTGATCAGCATGTATGGTGAATGTTTAAAATAAAAAAATAATCTTTACAGTAAGAGTTGCATTCCCATTAATCCCCCCTCAAAACACTCTCCCTAGCTTCGAACACACTGATTCCATTGTTCTTGCCACTTTCTGAAGCAGTTCTGGAAGTCCTCTTTCTGAGTGTGTTTAGTTGAGTTGTCATGCCTGCCTCAGTGGCCTGAATTGATTCAAAACATTTACCTTTCATGGTCCTTTTGACTTTAGGGCAGAGCCAGATGTTGCATGGTGCCAGATCCAGTGAATAACCTGAATGAGGACACAGCATAATGTGTTTATTTGACACAAATTGCCATATACCATAAGCGATGTGTGACTTGGAATGTTGTCATGATGGAGGATGATTTATGGAGCACTTTAAAACATAGCTTCTGTCAACTGTAGCTCACATCAACTGACTGCACCAAATAAGTTGAAACTTGTCACACACTGTTACTAAGGTTCAATGTGCTGCTCCCCGTATTGAAAATCCCTGCCTTTCTGTTGGATAGTACTTGGCAGCAGCGTTCACCGTAGTTTTTGATCACACTGAAAAGGCATCATATCACACATTGCTCCTGGTACGGAAATTTTTGTCAAATAAAAAATTATGGTGTGTCCATATCCACCTTATTCAGCGGGTCTGCCACTGTGTGACTCCTGGCTCTTCCCCAAAGTCAAAATGACCATGAAAGGTAACGTTATCAATCGATTCAGGACATCAAGGCAGCCAAGACAGCGCAACTTAAGACTCTCATGAAACAGGACTTCCAGAACTGTTTCATAAAGTGGCAAGATCAGTGGGATAAATGTGGTCAAAGCTAGGGAGAGTATTTCAAGGAGGATTAAGGGCAATGTGTCTTTTACTGTAATTAATTTTTTAAAATGTAAACATTCAAGGTATTGTTGGATCATACCTTGTAATATCAAACATCTGGTTTTATCAGAATTTAAATAATTAACTTTTCTACATTTTCACATTGCTATAGATTAAAGGATTGTGTCCCCCCAAATCATGACTTAAATCCTTTATAATGTGGTTGTATTTGGAGGTGGGGCCTGTGGGAGGTGATTAGGACATGAAGGTGGTGTCCTCATGAATGAGATTAGTGTTCTTATAAAAGACCCCAGAGAGCTCACTTGCCCCTTCTGCCATGTTAGGATGCAGTGAAAAGATGGCTGTGTGTGAGCTAGGAAGCAGGCCTTCATGAAACGCTGAATGTGCCAGCACCTTGATCTTGGTCTTCCCAGTTTCTAAAACTGGGGGAAATAATGTTCATTGTCTACCACTTAGTCTATGGTATTTTGTTATAGTAGCCCAAATGGACTAAGACATTTAGTTAATTTTCAAATTTGTATAGTTGCAATTAAAATGTTGGTCAGTTGTCTATATAACCTCCCTGAAGTCAGGGAAATTTACTTAATTGTCTTTATGCTGTCTGTTTCCTCTACAATGTCTGGGACAAAAATCTCTATAAATTTTGTCGATTATTATTTTCATGAAATCTCGATCTATTGGAGGGAGAATTTTTTTTTTAAGATTTTTTTGGGAAATTGGGGACGGGATAGTGTGGGGGAATTGGTGAGGGGAAGAGCCATGTTGTCCTTCAATCTTAGTGTGGAGGGTGCAGCTAGTTCAGCTCTCAAGTCCAGTCGCTCCAGCTGCCCGTTGGCAGCTCACAGCCACTCAGCTGAAGGTGCCATGTTCAATTTTAGCTGTGGGTGGGCATAGCACACCATCTCATGCAGATTTCGAACCGGAAACCTTGTTGCTAAGAGTGCATACTCTAACCATGGAGCCATCCAGCTGCCCTTCAGCAACTCTGTGCAGCTCATGTCAAGGTGCCATGTTCAATCTTAGCTGCGGGTGGGCATAGCCCACCATCCCATGCAGGATTTGAATTGGCATCCTTGTTGTTAGGAGCATATGCTCTCACCAGCTGAGCCGCCCTTCCACCTGTTGGCTGCTCATTGGCAGCGGAGCTCAGCTGTAGCTCACTGGCTGGTGTGGGAATTGAACTGGCGATCCTGTTACTCAGAGCTAGCGCTTTTAACCAAATAAGCCACTTGGCTGGCCCTAGAGTGAGAATTTTTGCTTGATCTCTTTGAGTGATGAATTATGATGAACTCTTTCTATGTTATACATATTTGTATCCATAGTTGTATATCTAACTCTTCTTTGATATTTGCTATGACCATTTCTTCTTTGTGTTTGCTAACAATATTTACTTATGTTATTTATGCTATACTTATGGGTATTTCTATATAAACATGTTACATTTTAATATTCTTTTACTTTCTAAATTCTTCTATCACATCACTCTTGGAAAATTTCATTCCCTTCTTATAAGATTTTATAAATTTTAACATCTTGGTTTTTAAAAATTACTTTCAAATATCTGGTTGAACCCATCTAGAGTTTATTTTGTTTATGATAAAAATACATTAGCTTATTTCCTCCAACCAGGCAAAGTAATCTGACAACATTATGAATTTCAGTGCTAATTTGAAAATTTCTATTTAATATGTCAAGTTTTCTACATCTAGAAACTTCAAACTTGGGGCCATTTCTGCTCTTGCTCCTCCTGTTTGTTCAGGCAGAACTGGACTGAACAAGTCTTCTGGCGTGAACTGAGGTCACTCTCCAGTATTCAGCCGATTGCTGGACTTTTAAGGAGGCTCCAAGATGACTTTGCTCACATGAATGGTGCCTTGGCAGCGATGGCTAGAAGATCAGGCTCATCTGGGCCCCTCTCCTTTTCCATGTGGATACTTGGCTATATAGACAAGATCTCTCCAGTGAGGTTGTCAGACTTGTGAAATGGCAGCTCAGGGTATCAGGGGAGTTAAGATCTCATCCCATCATGGTATCAGCTTAAAGTTCANTTTTTATGGAGCACTTATTTGGTGGTGCTGAGATTTTACTCCTGGTGATCATGGCCTATGACCGCTACATGGCCATCTGCAAACCCTTGCATTATTTGACGATCATGAATCAACGAGTGTGCATTCTGCTGCTGCTGCTGGCCTGGGTTGGAGGTTTCTTGCATGCTTTAGTTCACCTTCTCTTTGCTTACAAGCTTCCCTTCTGTGGCCCCAATGTCATTGACCACTTCGTCTGTGACATGTACCCCTTATTAAAACTTGCCTGCACTGACACCTACATTATTGGTCTCACTGTGGTTGCCAATGATGGCGCCATCTGTGTGGTCATCTTTGTGCTGTTGCTCATCTCCTATGGGGTGATTCTGCACTCGCTGAAGAATCTTAGTCAGCAAGGGAAGCGCAAAGCCTTATCCACCTGTGGCTCCCACATTACTGTGGTGGTCCTGTTCTTTGTCCCTTGTATTTTCATATATGTGAGACCTCCTTGTACCTTACCCATTGATAAGTCCTTGACTGTGTTTTATACCGTTATCACCCCTATGTTGAACCCCTTAATCTATACTCTGAGAAATGGAGAGATGAAAAGTGCCATGCAAAAGCTCTGGACCAGGAAAAGAACATGAGGCAGCAGAGAAATGTGTTACTTATTTTCAATGAAGAATAGTTTCTTCCAGGAAAGTCTTGTGTGATTATTGAACTATAGGAAATTTCTCTTGAGGATAATGACTTGGGCATAATGAAAAGCATTTATTATGTGTTCTTTGCTGCATCCACTGAGAGGATGAAGACCATTATCTGCAATCAGACAGTGGACATTCCAGAAAATGTGGATATCACTGTAAAGGGACCACAGTTATTGTGAAAAGCCTGAAAGACACCATCTGGAGGGACTTAATGCACATTAACGTAGAACTCAGTCTCTTTCGAAAGAAAAAGAAGAGGCTCTGGGTTGATAAATGGTGGGGAAATAGAAACTGACTGCTCTTCACACTATGTGTAGTCATGAACAGAACATGATCAAGGGTGTTACATTAGGCTTCAGTTATAAGATGAGGCCTGTGTGTGCTCTCTTCCCCATCAACATTGTTATTCAGGAGAATGGTTCCCTTATTGAAATGTGAAACTTCTGGGTGAAAAACACATCCACAGTGTTCAGAGGATGTTCGGTGTTGCTTGTTTTGTAGCAGAAGCCCAGGAAGATGAGTTAATTCTTTTCTTTTAATTTTTTAAAAGATTTTTATTGGGGAATTGGGGAAAGGGGAACAGACAAGTTGCTGTCTTTTCGTTTTTCAGCCTAGTTGTGAAGGATGTTGCTTCATGGCTCAAGCTGGCACCATCATTGAGCTCTTCCCGGGCGAGGCAGATCAGTCGCCGGCTTATAGACGGCCGCTCACAGAGGCTTGAGGGTCGCTCACGCTGGCTGCTGGCTACACACGGTAGCCCATGGCAACCCACTGCAGCAGGGGCTGCAGCCTACGTCATCGACAGCGACTCATGGCAGCCCAGCTCCAGGTTGAGCTGTTGTTCAGTATCTTAGCTTTAGAGGGAAGTGTCACTGGCCCTCATATGTGGGATCTGAACCGGGGCCCTCTGGCATCCCAAGCCAGCTCTTAACCAAAGCGCCACTAGCCGGCCCAAAGATGAGTTAATTCTTAAAGGAAATGATACTGAACTTGTATCAAATTGAGGTGCTTTGATTCAAGAAGCCACAACAGTTAAAAACAAGTTTATCAGAAAAATTTTTGGAGTTTGTCTATGTTTCTGAAAAAGGAACAGTTTCTGGCTGATGAATAAGATCTAAGCTGTCTAGCTACAGAAATACCAAAATGTTGAATGATTCTTCAGACTTATTTGTGATATTTTAAAGATGCAATAAAAGTCATGTATTGAAAACAAACATTTATTATGTGAATACTTCCAATGATCAAAAAATGTTTTTAAGATTTTCATAACTTTCTAATACTATATATATATGTAGAAATATATAAAAATACATTAAAATTTTTTTTTGATATTTTCATAACTTCTTAGGAAAACATATGTTCAGGTTTTGTGTATAAAATGCATATGTTGAGACTATAGATTTATGTTCTAGGTGATGAGTTTGCTATAGTAAATACTGTAAATTTATTTTAATTAATGAAAGATTTTTCTCATGCCTCTCTTAAGTAATGTATCTTTTTCAGACTTAATAGTGCTTATTACAGATTTCAAGAGATAAAATAAGAAATAAGATATAAAAAATTGGTTCACTTATCCCCACACAAAGATAGTTCATATTAATACTTGAAATATACCTATATCTCATTTTTGTACTGGCAGTATATTTTAAATAGTTGATTTTTTGAATATTAGCATGTTAAAAATATTAAGTAATATTTAGCATTATGCTTCAGACTTCCAATAATAATCAGGAGTAGGCAATGTGTATAAAAATAATCTGAGTGAGCAAGGCCAACACTGAGAACAACAACTAGATCTTATGTATTTTCCTAATTGGGAAATCATATTATCTCCTCATGTGGATCAGCTTTGTTTGGTGGTATATTTTTATGAAAACGATCTATTAGTTTTCCCAGATCGTTTAGAATATCTGGGAATTCCACTGCCAAATTTTTCAACACCCCACCTCCTTTTTTGCTTATACTGTTTTATAGCCTTCTATAGAGACCCGGGCCCAGCCTTGTATATATAAAATTAGAATAACCCATAATACATAGGCTTTAAATATGTAATACAGAAGTTGACACCAGATATTTTGGGTGATATCTTTGTCAAGAAAGATGGTGACACTATATGCTATTCTTACCTCTCTTATTAATGGAATACAGATTATTAGGTAACAAAGAGGCCAGAAGACATTGTTTTATTTGTCAGAGATCTCAGTCATAAAATTCTCTGTATGAATCAAACTTGAAACAAAATATTATTTGCCTCAGAGATGGTAGGAAGCATGTAGTCATGATTCTGCTTCTGCATTCAGTGTGAATTCATATGGGGCTAAGGCTAGGGGGCACTGGGTCCATTGTAAGGGTCAACGACACTGTATGGAAACCTATCTTGAGTTTAATCCTGGTTGTTATTACATGGATGTTTTTTATATCATCTTAAAGTCTTCCCAAACCTAACACTATCCAATAAATATGAAATGTGATCAAAATACGTGGTTCATGTTTAAATAAAAAAAATAATTGTTTACAGTAAGAGTCGCATTCCCATTAATCCCCCTCAAAACACTCTCCCTAGCTTTGAACACACTTACCCCATCATTCTTGCCACTTTCTGAAGCAGTTCTGGAAGTCCTCTTTCTGAGTGTGTTTAGTTGAGTTGTCATGCCTGCTTCAGTGTCCTGAATTGATTCAAAACGTTTACCTTTCATGGTCCTTTTGAATTTGGGGCAGAGCCAGATATTGCACAGTACCAGATCCAGTGAATAACCTGAATGAGGACACACTGTAATGTTTTTATTTGACACAAATTGCCATATACCATAAGCGATGTGTGACTTGGAGTGTTGTCATTGATGGAGGATTATTTATGGAGCACTTTAAAACATAGCTTCTGTTAACTATAGCTCACAGCAACTGACTGCACCAAATAAGTTGAAACTTGTCTCACACCAATACTAAAGTTCAATGTGCTGCTTCCCGTATGGAAAATCCCTGCCTTTCTGTTGGACGGCACTTGGCAGCAGCATTCACCGTAGTTTTTGATCACAATGAAAAGGCATCATATCACACATTGTTCCTGGTATGGAAATGTCTGTCAAATGAAAAATTATGGTGTGTCCTCATCCACCTTATTCACCGGGTCTGCCACTGTGTGACTTCTGGCTCTTCCCCAAAGTCTAAATGACCATGAAAGGTAACGTTATCAATCGATTCAGGACATCAAGGCTGCCAAGACAGTGCTACTAAAGATTCTCACGAAAGAGGACTTCCAGAACTGCTTCACAAAGTGGCAAGATCAGTGGGATAAATGTGGTCAAAGCTAGGGAGAGTATTTTGAGGAGGATTAAGGGCAATGTGTCTTTTACTGTAATTAATTTTTTCAAATGTAAACATTCAAGGTATTCTTGGATCATACCTTGTAATATCAAACATCTGATTTTATCAGAATTTAAATAATTAACTTTTCTACTTTTTCACATTGCTATAGATTAAAGGTTAGTGTCCTCCAAATTCATGACTTAAATCCTTTATAATGTGGTGGTATTTGGAGGTGGGGCCTTTGGGAGGTGATTAGGACATGAAGGTGGAGTCGTCATGAATGAGATTAGTGTTCTTATAAAAGACCCCAGAGAGCTCACTTGCCCCTTCTGCCATGTTAGGACACAGTGAAAAGATGGCTGTCTGTGAACTAGGAAGGAGGCCTTCAAGAAACACTGAATGTACCTGCACCTTGATCTTGGTCTTCCCAGCTTCCAGAACTAGGAGAAATAAATGTTCGTTGTCTACCACTTAGTCTATGGTATTTTGTTATAGTAGCCCAAATGGACTAAGACATTTAGTTAATTTTCAAATCTGTATAGTTGCAATTAAAATGTTGGTCAGTTGTCTGTGTTCATTGGTATATAACCTCCCTGAAGTTAGGGAAAGTTACTTAATTGTCTTTATGCTGTCTGTTTCCTCTACAATGTCTGGGACAAAAATCTCTATAAATTTTGTTGATTATTATTTTCATGCTTTCTCGATCTAAAATCTTGAGAATTTTTAAAAAAAGATTTTATTGGGGAATTGGGGAAGGGGAATAGTGTGGGGGAATTGGGGAGGGGAAGAACCAAGTTGTTCTTCAGTCTTAGTTGTGGAGGACGTAGCTAGTTCAGCTCTCAAGTCCAGTTGCCTCCAGCTGCCCGTTGGCAGCTCGCAGCCACTCAGCTCAAGGTGCCATGTTCAGTTTTAGCTGCGGGTGGGCATAACACACTATCTTATGCGGATTTTGAACCAGAAACCTTGTTGCTAAGAGTGTACACTCTAACCACCGAGCCATCCAGCCGCCTTTCAGCAACTCTGTGCAGCTCATGTCAAGGTGCCATGTTCAATCTTAGCTGCGGGTGGGCATAGCCCACCATCCCATGCAGGATTTGAATTGGCATCCTTGTTTTTAGGAGCCTGTGCTCTCACCAGCTGAGCCGCCCTGCCACCTGTTGGCTGCTCATTGGCAGCGCAGCTCAGCTGTAGGTCACTGGCTGGTGTGGGAATCGAACTGGCGATCTTGTTACTCAGAGCTAGCGCTTTTAACCAAATAAGCCACTTGGCTGGCCCTAGAGTGAGAATTTTTGCTTAATCTATTTGAGTGATGAATTTTGATGAACTCTTTCTGCGTTATATATACATATTTGTATCCATAGTTGTATATCTAACTCTTCTTTGATATTTGCTATGACTATTTCTTCTTTGTATTTGCTAACAATATTTACTTAAGTTATTTATGCTATACTTATGGGTATTTGTATATAAACATGTTACATTTTAATATTCTTTTACTTTCTGATTTCTTCTATCACATCACTCTTGGAAAATTTCATTCCCTTCTTATAAGATTTTATAAATTTTAACATCTTGGTTTTTTAAAGTTACTTTAAAAAATCTGTTTGAACCCACCTAGAATTTATTTTATTTAT